AAGCTTGTGTCGAGTAATGAAGGGGGCGTTTCCGCGAGGCTTGCTTCATTTATGGGAGGAGCTGAAAATGATGACGTCCGAAGCCTCGCTGCCCGGTTGTACCACGTGACTGGTTCAGGAAGCGGTTCGAACTTGACAGCGATATAAACCCCTCAGACTTCATTCAAAATGTGTGTGTTTGATGGAGAGTTGCGGTTAGTGAGAGTTTGGAGACAGTGTGGAAGTTTAGGAGAGTGAGGAGAGAAAGTCAGGAGAGAATGGAGCCAGCTAAGAAGAGGAGGATGTCCTCCGCTGTGTGGGAACATTTTGATCTTATTCCTCCCAACAAGCAAGACCAGGTGAGCCATCAAATGCCATGATAATATAGCATGCCGTAATGTTACTAAATGATATAACAATATTATACAACTGTAATAAGTTACGTGTGTGATATTTATATTTGTGCTTTGTTTTTATTGTCTTTCCTCAGGAGAACAATCTCAAATAGATGAAGACCTGGTTAGCATGGTGATTGAGGACTCCCAGCCATTTAGCATTGTGGAGGACAAAGGACTTAAAAGATTTGTTAAATCATTAAATCCTTGCTATGTTCTCTCCACTAAAAAGGCCATAAAAGCAGTGAAAATTTAGTTTTTACAGAATAAAATGTGAACAGGCAGGAGTGTGTAGCTGTCCATACCTCAACGTTACAAAAGCACAACCACTGTCCATACCCCAACCACACCTCACAGTAAATGATCATTTCCATTTTAAGGATTTCCAAATGATCATTTTCCATACTGCCAGTATAAATATACACAGTATACTGCCATCACTACAATATACATGTTTTACACACTCCTTTTGTTGTTGACATTTACAGGCTGTGTGCAAAAGGCCACACTCTTCAAATTCATGCCAACTAATATTTTTACGTCCAGCAGATGTCCCACTAGAGCAAATGAAGCTTCAAGACGCTTTGCGCTGGGGTGAACCAATTGGATGAAAAGCTTCAGTGCTTCATGAAGCTTCATCTGCCCATCACTACCGTTAACAGCCCAGACTGTGTTTTCTCAACCTTTAAGATAAAGTTGTCGGTGCAAACAGACTCACCCACCGCTCTTTGCCGGGTTGTTGCTGGACGTTGTCGGGCTCCTCTTCGGTGCTCCCCCGGAAGCTTCGACCGTTGACTTCTTTCGCTTCAGTCTGGACTTCAAGTGATTTTCTTCCATATCTGCGTTTCACAACAACTCACAGCTCCCCGCCAGCTATTCTAACAACGACTTCCGTATCCCGCAACCTGACGTCACTCGATTACATCCAATCAGCTACGTCTAGCACGAGAACTCGAACCAATAGAATTCTACAACGATAACGGAGCAGTCACGTGAAAGTCCTGCACGAACTGATACAGAAGAATCAGGGCTCGTTCAAAGATTTCTTTTCTTCTTAGTGGATTTCACAGATTTATGAATATTAATAATAATAAAATGTTCAACTTTGGCTTTACTTTAGATACTGATAGAGTATAATAGTATATAGTATATAGTAGAAAAATATGAATTTGAAGCTTCACTGACGCTGTGGCACTTACATCACTGGCCTCGGATTAAGTAGTCTTAACTATTTAGGGCTGGGCTAAACTGGGACTTGTAGAACATGTGTGTTTTAAGTGGACTGGACCAGCATACTGTTTTTACAAATATTAATGGCATAAAAAGAAAAGTTACAAAACTTAATGAGACAGGTAGTAATAGATATGTTCCTTAGAAGTACTCTGACTCAGTAAGACCCAGAGAAGAATAACATACATGTGAGATTTTTTGATTTTTCTATGACTTCTGCAGCACCTTCACACACCTTATGGAAAGTTATCCACATCCTCACATACATCATTCTAACTGTGGAGACAGGGATGTATGCAGAAACACGGGAGCTGTCATGGTTCTGGGGCTTTTGAGCTAGCATTTCCACTTTCATGCCTTTTTGTGTTATGAAGTTCTGGTTTAGGCTTTAGTTAGTTCTCTGTTTCCTGTTTAGGTCTGTTTAGGTTCCTCCCAGGTCTGTGTCTTCTCCACTATGTTGGTTATGGTGTCGCATCTTCAGTGTTCGAGTCTGTCAGCTGTGTTCAGCCTAGCTGTCACGTTCTCTGTATTCCGTGTCTCATCTCCCATCCCACGCTGTTCCACGCGTCTGTTTTTGGGTCCACACCTCAACTTCACACGATCTGCCTCTGCTAATTGTGACCCAAGCAAAGCACAAACTACAGGAAAGAAAATGGACAAATTTCATGGCATGACAGAAAAAAGACTCGTCCATGAATCGGGGGCGAGCTCACTGAGGTGGTTAAACAACTCCTTGTTGGCAGGGCCCCTGGGGTTAATGAGATTCAGCCTTGGATGTTGTGGGGCTGTACTGGCTGGCACACTTGTGCAATGTTGAATGACGATCTGGGGCAGTGCCTTTGGATAGGCTGAAATGGAGGTTCCCATCTTTCATAAGGGGGTGCTCACATTACTCAGCTTCCCTGGTAAGGTTAATGGCAGGGTACTGAAGAGGAGAGTCTATCCATTTCATTGTTTACATGGAGAAGGCTTTAACCACTTGGGGAGAGTGGAATATCTGGTCCATTGTTGCGTGCTCTTTAGTCCCTGTAAACCAGACTGAGAGCCTGGGCTGCAGGCTTTACTGCAGCAGGCTGGGTTTGTTCCCGGTGGGTACTGAACTTCACAAAGGCTGGTGTGTGGTGGCCTCATGAAAAAGTGCTCTGTTGTGACTGTAAGACACAATGAGTTCTTTAAGATATAGTAGTCTTTAAGGTATTTGTCAATAAACCAGCAGGAGCAGATCCACACAGGTCAGTTGGCATTGCTGTCCTTAATGCAGCTAGCAGAAGATCAGCTCTGTTAATCTGTGCTTATTAAAAACGACCACTGGAAACGACAAGTGAACTTGATAAAAATCAAAGGGATCTTTGGATTTTTACAGCATGAACAAAATGAACCATTCGGATTATGTGAGCCTATAAAAACCTATTCTATGTCTTCACTTCATGGGCATACGGTCAGGACGCAGAAGGCAGACAATGAAGGAAGCCCAGAACATTGGTCGGCCCCTAAATGGCTTCATACCTCACCTGTTTACACTCATCCTGTTTTTGCACTGTCGTGTCCAGAGGTGGCTGTTGCTTTTGACAGCAGGCTTGAGTCGAACAGCTGTCAAATCTGTTGTCTCCATCATGTCCGGTTGGAAAAAGCTGCACCTGTACTTGTGTGCAATCCATTATTAGTCGTCAGTAAGACTGCAAAGTGCTCCAAGTTCATTTCCACTTGTCATAGTAAGGACATGCCCAGCTCTGTGCTACACTTTGTCTGTTTTTGAACTGATATTGTAAAATAAGCTTAAACAGCAGCGCTTAGGAAGGAAAATCCTCGTTTCACAAAATGTTTGCAAGCTTTATCATGTAACGCACAATCCAGGCAAACTGTGTGATGTGATTATGACCTGATGTGACTTAAAGCATCAATCAAATGGAAAAGCAGCCTTTGAATGCATGACCTAATCACCAACTGTCACACTTAATACACTAACAATATTGTGTCAGTCTTGCTCAAGGATTCATTCAGTGCAAGATTACATCATAAGAAATGTTACTGTAATCATGAGACTTTGTTCCTTTGCTAGGACACACATAAAGTGGAAACTTGAAGTGGTGGGACTTTCTGAGCCTTTTATGCTTTTGGCCAGAGGACAGGGACCAACGGAGAGCGGCTACAATTATGCAATGGAAAAAGACGAGGCAAAGCTGGACTGAATGAAAGGAAAAGCAAAGAAAGGAAAGAAGACAGCATTATTCAAAATAATGGAAAACAGAACTATGTGAAAACTTGCTACTTTAAAATAAGATGAGAGCTTTTTTTTGAACTGGTTCCCTGTAAGATGAGTATTGCAGAAAGACTTCACAATGTTTTTTTTGTTTTTTTTACCTCAGCCACAGAGGGGGAACACACAAAGCAGGGCTGTGGGCCAGGACTGTGGTACATAGAAGTAACCCGGCGCCTGGAAAGAAACATTATGTCACTCCTCACACATGATGCTGTGTTGTGCTCGGCTTCCATAGAGACGATGAGGAAGCCTCAGCAGCAGCACCAATAGTTTGGAAGGGTACACTGCCAGCAGTTTTCCTATGGAGTGATGAAAACATCGCTCCACAACTAACTATTCACAGCTTCTGATCGATTGTAGCCAATTGTAACAATTCCTCTATTATCCTCATTTGCAGCTCACTCTTTTTTTCCTGTGACTTCACAACAACAGCTTTGGAGTCACCGTTTAACAAAAAAACTCAATCTGCCAACTTCCGGACGACTGCTAAGAGGCAGCCCCAGGGACAGTGCAGAGTGTACACTATGAACATTTCTATCTAAAAAGACACTGTTAATATGTTTGCTCAATAGTGTGCTGCATACATGCTTTCCCCCTGGTGAATGTGAGGAAGAGTTGCTCACTGGAGTCTTTGGGTTAGCTGTTCCACATCTAGGAATACTTCATGTTTGATTGGGGGATCTCATGTGAGAGTTTCCCCAAGTACTTGAGGACTTGAAGAAGCGTATCACTGCATCCATCAGACTCTCTTATGGGGATCCTTTGGGAGTGCTTAGTGAGGGCTTGGTTCACATTGGCAGCAGTGAGTTAGATTTGTTGCCACTGAGCCAGCCTAGTGTCTGTGATTTATCATATGAATACAAGTTCTTGGCTTAGCTAAGAGAATATCCAGTTCTGGCTACTTGGGCTTGCGTTTAGTAGATGAAGTGGTCCTGTTGGCTTCACTGAGCAGTGAACCCCAGGTTCCACGGGGGCAGAGTCACACTACTACATGTCAAACTAGGGTTCATCGCTAGGAAAGTCTGGATTGCATGTCTCAAGTGGATGTTTTTGTCTCAAGTGGATGTGTTTTGAGTGTCTTGTGGCCTTGAGGAAAAAGTGGGATGTGAGGTTGATGGATGTTGCAAGTGCAACATCTCCAGTGATGTGGTATCATGTAGAGTGCAGATGTGGACCCAGATACAGACTGGTTTACAGAGTTAAAAAAAAACAAAAACACAAACCTTTATTTAGACAAATGGAAAGTCTGACAGCACCAAGTAACAAAATCCAACAAACTCAAACCAGAAGACACAGACAGGAAGAACCACAGCGAGCAAACAGCACGACACAACAAAGGACGGAGACAAACCGACACCTCACATACACGAATGAGGCAATCAGGGGAAATGGAGATGATACAGTTGTAACTAATAAAATGAAACATGGAAATAAACAAAATACAAAGCACAGGAACACGTGACTATCAAAATAACATGGACGGTAATAAACAAGGAACAATAACAGAGTGATGGAGACTTAATTAAAAACAGGGAAGGCAGGAAAAACAAAAATAACAACAAACTACAACCATGAACATAAACCAGATTACAAACTTACAGGGTTACTATAAATAACAAATGTAACCTACAAAACAGATAAAACCAAAGTTCTGGAATAATACCTGAAAAGCAAACTTAAGAAACAAGCTATATAATAATACACAGAACTGGAAGGATCAGAAAAGAGAATCAGTAACACAGGGTAACAGACCCAGGACCATTAATATTAATTTAGATAAATATATTAAACTAAACTGCATGGTCTCTGCCCCCCAGAGATCTATTTCCGTGGCCCAAGTGCTGGTTATGCAACAAATATGCAGAAAACTAAGAAATGAAGAAGGATGCAGATATTTTGTGATGGCACTATAACCGTGAGGAGTGAGAGTGGAATAGAAACAGTTGCTCGATTCATTGTGGAAAGTTCCCCCAACAGCCTCAGACTATAATAACATAACTAAGAGATGGTTAAGAGTCTATGAGGTGTATGCTCTGTCAAAAAGGACAGCTTTAAGCCTAATCCTTAAATTAGAGACGTGTCTGCCTCCACAATCCAAACTGGAAGCTGGTTCCACAGGAGAAGATCCTCACAGCTCAATTCTGTCTTATTGCAACTGATTTTTCACATGCATCTCTCAGTCCTCCATAGCTCATCTCCAGCTGGTGCAGCACACAGCAGCAAAGCTGGATTTTATGGGTTAGGCTTTCTTTAATCTTCTCCCCTTTATTTTTGGCCATAGTTTGCAACAATGCATGCATGCATGTTGGAACCAGTGTCTGTTGTTATGGCTGATTGTGTTTGCGGTTTATGTGTCTGTATGTTTTATAATATACACTTA